CCCCAAAACCCCAAAACCCCAAAACCCCAAATTTAATATCAATAATTGAATATAAATAATATGGATAAAGTTATTAGCTTTCGAGTCACAGGTAAATTTACCTCAGTTTCTGATACAATTCAACTAAACTTATTATCAAATATATGTAAAAGTTTTTATGAATTTCCTATAACACTTTGAGAGTTTTCAGAGCTGTTTAAAGCAATCTTGAATTATTCCAAAAATTTAGTAACTTCGGCCTACTGCTCCCAGATTTGGCTTCTAGTTATTTCGAATAAATCCAGTGATGAAATTGGATAATTTTAGTTTAAGCAGTTTTGTAAGAAATTTTGAGGTGCTTCACCTCATTTAGAAGAAAATATGTTGATAATTATTATTAATCCAGTAATAACTCATAACTGGTTTAAAAACTCAAGACTAAAATTTATTTTTGTAGAAGATAAACCATCCATCGATGATACAAGTGAGATAAACTCACCAGCATGAAATCCAAGCCGCAAGTTTATGAACACATTAGGGGATTCAAAGGCAAGAAGGACTTTTGTTATTTTTATAGATCAATTTCACCACTTCTTATCCTAAGAAACTGAGGATGAGGAATATAAAAGAAACATCTCTATATTCTTCTAAGGGGAAAATCTCGAGTATTCAAAGTGGAAGTCGAAGGCGAGTGAACAAGTATTCTTCTGAAGGGAAATGTAACCTCCTTCTTATTATTATAGTTTCGAATACTTCAAAGTTAAAATATTCCAAGAAGAACAAAGGAAGGAACAAGGTATGGTGACTGGCCCCTTGGGAGTACATCTTTATTGGAGAGTTTAGAAATATAATATTTACTCAGGACTATGTCGTTGAGGAATCAAGAATTTCAGTTTATTTCAAAATTTTTGGGATTTTATGAATAAAATTCATGATGAGCTATATAGGTGAGAATACAAGAAAACATGCGATCTGTTGATAAAATGGATTATTTTTATGGGCCTTATCGAAAAGACCTTCTCTCAGATTCTGTAAGTACTCTTTCGAAATAATTCATGCTGAATCAGAAATAATTATGGCACACTGATTTTTATCTAGAAAGAACTACATATGACGTTCCAAGAGAGCATGAAGGTTGAAAGTAAGATTTCAAATCTAATTTCACATAGGGGAGGCTAATCCTCACTGGCAGTCTATTGCTGAATGCATCATTGGCAAAGATAAGGACTCTAATGATTCCTTTAAGAAGGTACTTAAAGGCTATACTGCAAGGTAATTTCCTGGGATAACCTCACGTAGTAAAAACATATCAAACACAATCCAAAAAATGAAGAGAGGTCAACCGAACCTAAACTCTTCTGAGATATCCCCTCTTGAGAAAACTATCTTACGCATTCGAAGGAAGATCGGGAAGCAAGAAAAGAAGTAAACTGGCTCTAACCTTTAGCAAGCAGAAGAATTTAAAGATCAAAGAGTCTCGAGACAAACAGAAGAAGTCAGACACGATATTTGGTTCTGAGATAGAGCTGAATAGGTTTAAAATAAAACCAATGCTGTCTCCTAAGAAGAGAGCTGAGAAAAATCCTAAAAATACAGTGAGTTGAGATAGATTTGGTGAAGATTCCTTTCTACATTCGAGCAGAGAAGGAAAATCAAGTTAATCTTACTGTTAATCTGTAGCATTTTCTCGTGGAATCGAAGAAAGCAAAGCCCAGCTAACTCAAATCTTTAATTTCGATCCTATTTGTGAAGGAAGTGATGACCAAGAGAAGGAGATTGATATAAATGACGAAGTAATCCTATACCTGATCCTTAGTGAGTGATTAAAATTCCAGAGCAATCTGAATCAAAATCATCAGCAGAAGAAGAACAAGTAAATAATATATGTTATTTCTAGATGAATTCTCTGTGCTCTTCGAGCTCTCAGACTTCATCAGGGTCAGAAACATCTTCCAAAGGTACCTCTAAAATTTTGAAATTATAGTCTCTGTAAATGAAGAGTTTAGAAGAAATATGATCAAAAGAGGAGCTATTAGAGTATCAGAAATTAACAAAACAAGTATAAAATTTTCGAAGTGTGTTAAACTTTGTATTTAGATAATTATTTCCCAAAGAAAAGTCGTATACAGCAGCAAAACACAGAGAACAGGACATTAGGCATGCAACAACATCTAAGAGCTCTCTCAGGGGCAAAACATATGCGGAAATAACACAAGAGTTGTGTCAGGCTATGCTGCTGATTTAATAAAGCTTTCACCAAGGAAGGAAAAAATCCCCAGTGTGATAGACGGAAAGAAGATCAAGAGCACATTGTCTCCATTTTTTAGTCACAGTAAGAACTCCAGGGGGTCTCTAGCAGTGCAGAATATGTTCAGTTTCCAAAAAGGGTAATCTCACCGATAATTTCCATCTAGTTCATCGATATGTTCAACTGGAAAATCGAAGTCGAACTCAAATCCTAGGTCGCAAGTAAAGGAGAAGAAGTCAAATTTTGCGAAAAATTCTTTTACTGTAAATTTTCTATAACCCTATAGAAACCTCTAAGCCCAAATGAAGAGCGAAGGCCTAGCCATATCGAGGAGCTCCAGATAGAATACGAAAAGAGCGCTAAGGATATTGCTAAGCTTCGTAACAGTAAGGGTGTCAGTTTTAATAAAAATTAGGGAAATCCATCGTGCTCAATTTCATACCAATAAATAATGAGGAGGAAGGTACTCAAGAGGAACAGAAATGTCAAAACAAGGATTTAAAAGGGTATATTGAACATTCTTAGAAGTAGCATGCAAGGAATTCAAGGAGATAGTATAGTCAAGGTCAAGAGAACATCCAAAGAAGAGAGCAAAGGATTTGAGCAAAATACAGCAATGGACTTATTAAATGTCAAAATTGAAGAAAATCATACTTTTGGATTGGGTGAGGTAAGAAATAAGATGTTTTGAGGATGAGGAATCTGAAATAGATTCAGAACGGTTATGTTTGGAAGCTTAAAAAATTAGAGTAGTTATTCGATTTTATAGCTCAAAGGGCTTGCCAATTTTCAGGAATGAATTGGGATGTAATTTATATAGTCATATAATGAGCCTCAGAAGAGCACTAGGATGGATCAAAAAGAGGAGTTGAAAATACCAACAGATTCATTGAATAAGCGAAAAGCCACTTTTCTCCAGATTGATCAGGACTATATCAACAATAATCTCCTTCTAGACCGCGTCCGAGTGAAGGAAAATATCAAAAGAAAAGTATTTCTAAAACTAAATTTTTTAGGAAAAGAAGAACTTGAAAACTACTCTTAGACCTTTTAGTAACCGTCATTTTCATCCTCGAATTCTATCTCCTTCCAGGAACAATTCCAAGGAAAGGAATCATTCCAAGGAGCACGACCATTCTAAAGAGGGTACTTACTCAAATCCAACATCTCGCATAAAAGTACGATCACCGATATATTGTAAACGGTAAGGTAATGCTAACCAGTAGGAAGCACAAGATTGGAAGTCCTGAACAGATGAAAACCTGCATGTCTGATAGAAAGACTTCAAATGAGTTCGAAGCAGGGTAAGGCTATCAGCCTAGGAGCACATCTTGCAGTTTAAACAGCTTTTCTAACCATAGTAATAGACACAAGGGACTTTAAAAAATCTTTAAAAGCAGCCTGACTCAGAAAATAAGGGAAAAGAAGTCAAGATTAGAAACCTCAAAAGGCGGGATAGATTTAAAACTATTCGAGTCAAGCAGAAACCAGAGGTAAGATATCCACAATTAGATTGCGTTTATTTAATTTGGACATACTAAAATTACCCAACTTAGGGCATTTTTAATAAGAATTATAGGGCCAAAAATCTCCTAGGAAGAAAATGAAATGACTGTCAGAGTAAGGTTCAGGTTTAATGATAGATTCTCACCCTTTCCTATCCATACTCCTACTTCCAGATTTCAAAGTAGTGTGAGAAGAAGAAATCAGCTCTCCTCTAAATGTCTGAATTATTTGTAGTGGATTGAGGTCTGAATCTTTAGAAATCAAAAAGAAGCTTACAAGCCATGCAAAATTCCAATTCTACAGAGGAAAGATTTGAAAAACTCAAAATCACCAGTTAATAGAGTAAATTAAAAGATTTAATGAGATTTAGCCTAAGAAAAGGCCTTCAGAACTCCACAATACAAGTATTAAAGATTATGACTTGTTATAGTTACTAATACAATTCGAGGAGTGGTTTCGCCTGATGAGGAGTCTAAAATTAGTAATGTGAAGGAGGCTACTTCAAAGAGAGCTCAATTTAGAACAAAAGTTTTAGAATTTCTTAATAGAAACCATTATGAGAAGCCAATTAATAGTGAAATCGAGAGGATTGAGACCCAAGAAAAGGTTTATCCTTTCCTGTAAGCTTAATCAATCTCATCTCTAGCAAACGAGGAAGAAGAGGAATTCTGAACACCGAGGTACTAGGAACCACCAAAATACCTCAAAAGAGTAGAAATATTCGAAAAATGTCAAAATTTTTATCAGTATAATTGACTGCATCATTTATTTAAACCCCTCCTTCCTTCAACATCTAATCTCCCTCTGGGGTTTTGGGGTTTTGGGGTTTTGGGG